AAAAAAAAAAAAAATAAATAAATAAAAATACTGACTCTAACTTAAGATCAATTACCTAAATATACATATAAATTTTGATATCTTGTTTACAAAGACCTGTTTATACTGAAGAAATTTAAGTATTAATTGAATCAAATACGTCTAATTTTATTTCATTAAAACTTACCCTCCAAATTTCCTTCAGGTTTCAATGATGTCTGTGGAGCTGCCTCCCTAAACTTGGGACTTTTTGTCTCAAAAGGAGAATCAACAGTAGTTGATGGCTTTATTTCATGTGAAATACACTGTACTTCTTCTCCAATAATTAAAGGCTTGTACTTTTCCTCTTCAGGAGAAATCTCTGTTAAAAACAAACAATGAAAATTCATGCTAGTTGTCAAAATGAATTGAATTTTACTTGTAATGACATTTAAAGCAAAGTAAAAAAACTTATATTATTACAAGTAATTAATTACTGGTTAAGCTCTCTCACATACCAGGCAATACAGAGCATATACTCAGTACATGTAGTTGAAAAAAAATGAAAAAAAGGGCAGGTGACAAGTCTAGAAAGTCTTTCTTGAATATCAAAGATAAAGTTAATTATTTAAACAATCTCTGCACTAACTCCAAATTTTGTGGATACTTTTTATTCTCGGCCTTTTCATGCAACATTGCTTTTTAGTTGTTTTCATTTTTGTCTGTCCTCCGAGAACAAGGATGAGCTTTTATTTTCCTTGGTACCTTTACCATCTAACATAGAACAGTGTGCACAGCCAGTAAGTGTTTGGTAAAGAATTGAATAAAAAAAGATAAAACCAAAGTTATTTTTGGTTTCAATTCTGTGCAGATGGATTATGACAAATAAGAAGAATGAAAGTCCTGCTGCTTAAGTATTACTATATACCAAATGACATGTATTTAAGCAATAAAATTTTCACATAAAAGGAATCAGAGTTTTGGGCCGGGTGCACTCTGGGAGGCCAAAGCAGGCAGACTGCCTGAGCTCACAAGAAGTTTGAGACCAGCCTGAGCTAGAGTGAGACCCTGTCTCTAAAAATAGGCAGATGCTGTGGCAGGTGCCTATAATCCCACTTACTCAGGAGGCTGAGGCAAGAGAATTGCTTAAGCCCAGGAGTCTGAGGTTGCTGTAGGCTATGATGCCACAGCACTCTACTGGGGGCAACAAAGTGAGATTCTCTCTCAAAAGAAAAAAAGGAATCAGAATTTTATTTTTTGATTTTTCAAAGTAATAGTTTTAATGAGTATAAACATATATAGAGGACTTTGAGACAACAAAATAACCTGAAATTTTTATTATTATGTAAAAAATTGTTTTAGAGCCTGAAGGCACTTTTGTCTTGAATAAAGCCTAGGACATTTTGAAAATAGGGTTAGACTGAGGTATGAGAGTATTAAGTTACCAGTACTTCTATTTATGATTAGTGTTTGGCATACTACTGCATAATTTCCTGATATAAAAGTGTGAACAAATTAATTACAAATATAAACATTTTGTGCTTTTGTTTTTTTCAAACAGATAATTATATATCTTTTTCTTTGTTTGAATTATTTTTTCTTTAATATTAAAGCAAATAATAGAATGATTAGCAACCTATTTTTGCCACTTGAGTAATGTGCACAGATTTATTACATTGGCTAATTCTCTGCATCTTGCTAATTCCAATAAAGACCATGACAACAGCCTCACCTCCCAGGGTATTATTCCACAGCCTTGGATATGATTTTCATTTTAGGTTTTTGTTTTTTTTTTTTTTAGACAGAGCCTCAAGCTGTCACCCTGGGTAAAGAGCTGTAGCATCACAGCTCACAGCAACCTCCAACTCCTGGGCTCAAGTGATTCTCCTGCCTCCATCTCCCAAGCAGCTGGGACTACAGGTGCCTGCTATAAGCCCAGCTATTTTTTGGTTGCAGCTGTCATTGTTGTTTGGTGAGCCCGGGCTGGATTCAAACCCACCAGTTCTGGTGTATGTGGCTGGCACCTTAGGCACTTCAGCCACAGGTGCTGAGCCTTCATTCTAGGTTTTAAGGAGAGACAGAGAAAAAGAGCAACAGAGATGGAGAGAAAGAGCACGAAAGTGACATGCACACACATTCCTACCTAGATATAACTTCTCAAAAGAGGAAAATTACACTCAAGTTCCTTATCATTCAGACAAGCTGTGTAATCTGAAAACACCTGTTACACCTAGAAATCCCTCCTCATGTGTAGCTGAGATACCAAGGCCCTTGAGACCCCTGGGGCATGGGTGTCTCCTCCTGTCTCATGATAATGCTGCCTCCCCAGTCACAGAATAAGGTCAGAGACCTTGTAGTTGTAAACACCACTGCACTTGGACCAGCCAGCAGGTGTCTTCTGGTCAACCTAATTACTGAAACCACATCAAAACATACAGCATTATTTTTTTTTTTTTTGAGACAGAGTCTCACCATGTCGCCCTGGGTAGAGTGCCATAATGTCACAGCTCACAGCAACCTCAAA